GGTTTTGATATCTCATGATCTGGACATGCATAGGGTCATGAATTTTGGTTGGTAGATAGCTCTTGGGGTAGGGAAGAAGTGACATGAGTTTGATATCTCATGATCTGGACATGCTAGGGTCATGAATTTTGGTTGGTAGATAGCTCTTGGGGTAGGGAAGAAGTGACATGAGTTTGGGTCCACTATATAGCTCCTTGTTCTAGAACTGCAGGAGCATTTGTTGAAAAAAATTTGAAGGACGATAACTCCTATAGGAAAGCCGACAGGGGTCCCAAAATCTAATTGTTTCTAGGTCTCATTAAGACCTACCCACTTACCAAGTTTCATTCCAATCCATCCATTGCTTCTCGAGTTATCTTGCTAAACCACACACATACAGTCATACATACATACATACATACATGTACATACATACAAACGCTACTAAAAACATAACCTTCTTGGCGAAGGTAATTATCCTAGCTGTGTGATAACCATTAGAACCCATGTGATTCAGTTACTTGCTATCACATGGGCCGGAACACCCATATCAAATGTTAGGCCACACCGACTTAATTTTATGGATCACATCCTCTGAAGTCCCCCAAACTAAACCTGAGAGGAATACAAAGCCGGCACTTGCAGGACTTTTTGCGTAATTTATGAATCTGAGTATGTACTAAGTTCTTGAGTCGTGGAGCTTTGGCAGCCTGGGTGCCGTCCTCCAGAGTTACCACCGGCTTCGTATTGTCGATAACTACCATGGACTACCCAGGCCTAGAGACAGGCCGGATGTGATCTTTTTTTTTTTGAACAGGCGAAAATCAATGTTAGCGGATGTCATCCATAAAATCAAGTCGGTGTGGCCTTACCACACCGCACATGTGACAAAATGTATTCAACTGCATGCTGAAGAGTTGATGTTTTGTTGCAGCACACGTCTGTCCCTGTGTAAGCTGTGGAAGGCTGTTGTTCTCAAGGATGAGGAGAACATGAAGGGATTTTCCTACCAACTTGGAGTCAAAGGTTGGAATGAATGAAGGACTATTTTTGTCCTGAACACTTTTGGGCTGTTTTCAGACCAAAAATGTATATTTGAGCTCCTGCCTTGGAATTAAAAATGATAGCTGCATGTCCAAAAGAACAAGATTTTAAATCGGGGTGCCTTGGACAAATGCACACAGGCTATCAGTCACATTTGTTTTTGTATTTTAGGACTTAAGGATATTTTTGGCTAACAAAATTATACATGTCATGTATATCTCGTGTTCCTGTGTCATATATACTAATTAATGTAAAAGCAAAATGTCCTGGAATTTGGTAAATTTGGTAAACATTTTGTAGACCTTTTGTAAACCTCCTTTGCCTGTATTCAGTCACTCAGTATCAGAGAAACATGACCATTGTGTACATGTATGTTGTATGACAGATTGTCCTCCAATAGGCCAGTATATCCAAGGTGTCAAAAGCTATTTTCTTGTGCATGATTAGATAGTATGAATGACATAAATGACTGTTGTTTAAACAAAAGCTATTTTCTTGTGCATGATTAGGCCACACAAATTTGATTTGTTGCTTCTCGGATTCGCCCTGTCCTTTTTTTTCTGATTTGCAAAGAAAAAAATTTTTTTTGGTTCTAAATTAACTGCAAAATGCTCAATGAAAGACATTTTAATCCCAACGGTTGAAAAAAGTCCCTTTCTTCCTAGTTCTTATTAAGTTTTTCAATGTAACAATGCAATTTTGTTTCATAAAAAGTTCAAAATCTATTGTTTTAATCTTAACCCAGCCTGGTATGTTCACTTCATAGCTCATATTGTAACATTTCCTTCTATCAAAATTAAGGGGTGTCTTGGCCTGTTTTTTTTTTAATTATGCCCTGTCGCTCCTGATTTTGTTTGAAAAAATCCGAGAAGCAAAAAATTAAATTGGTGTGGCCTTAGATAGTAATGACATAAATGACTGTTTTTTTTAACAGACTGGTACCTGTTCTGTGAAATCCTGATGCAGCGACCAATCCACATCCAGTCTGGAGGCTACATGAGTTTTAAGGCTCAGATGACTCCTGAGGACATGAAGTACATGAGGAAGATGGCGGTGGACCATTTTGATCGCATCATGGTGGTCCTGAAGGACCTCCCCAGGTCTATGCTGCTGGTTTTTAGGTTAGTCTTTGATTTTTGATTTTATTAGTTTGTACATTAAACAATACAGACAGTAATAATACAAATTAAACAAGGATAAAAACAGCTGCAGGAGGAGGGGAGAAGCATGGAATGCTTATACAAGGCCCTCCTCTTCTAAACGATACAAAATTAAATATAATCAATAAATGGAAATAATACAATAGAAAATGGAAATAATATAATAGGGATAATCAAGATAAGGTATGACAATGAAATAAGGTAATGTAAGTTATAAATACAGTACAATAATGATAATGATAATAATTAGTATGAGTTTAGATAAGAAAAAAACACTAAAATGAAACTACTACAGGGGGCTAGGTTCATTTATCAGATGGTTTTTCAAAGCTTGTTTAAATGAGAGAAAAGACAAGGTAGGATTCTTTAGGGCTGGAGTTAGTTCATTCCATAAGGTGACACCTTTGTATCTAACCGACATTTGGGCAAGAGAAGTTTTTATTAGGGGGATATGAAAATCAGAACGTTTGCGAGTTTGATAGTTGTGAATCTGTGAACGAAGACTAAAAGAATCATCAAAAGTATCCGGGTCTTTATGGTTTATATATTGGGCTACGAAAAGGGGAAGTTGAAATCTGTTTATGTCATAAATGTTCAAAAGTCTAAGTTTTTTTAATAGATGTGTTCTCATGTTCATATTCATGACAAATGTGGCTCACTAACATTGGAGAATACAAACTAAGATATGTGAGCGATTGATGGGAAAGTGCTTTCATTAGAATGTTAATTGACTTATTGGTGGACAGATTCTTGTCATCTTTGGGATGTTGGTACTAGTACCTTTAAGTTTAATTACTCTAGATCTGTGAAGGAGCTATGCCTCCTGCAGGAGTATTGTGGTCAAACGTTTTTTGTGTTCGCAGCTAAAACACAATGTTTCTTTCTAATCAGCATGTAATTTTATACATTGTCTGCAGGCATGCCCTTGGTGATGCACGTGTCTTTATTTTTACTGTTACGGTAGCTGTTTTCACGGTCAATGTAATATTTCAGATGCACCCCTACAATACATTTATGAGGCAAATTGGAATGGTTTGCATAATTCTTCTGGTGAAGGTGTGCGAAACCTTTTCTTACCTTTGCCAGAAGGTTCATAGTATATCTTCAGTAGTGTTTGGGTGTAATATTTGTATGTGGTTTATAAGGATAACTCAAGAAACTATGAATGGATCATCATACATGTGCATGTAGATGGGTAGGTCTTGATGACACTCCAAAATTTTTAGATTTTGGGCTCCCTAGTGGCTTGTTATGGTACCTCACTTCTACAAAGAGAAGTGCATTTAGTTAAAACAACATCATCACCCTGTCCAATGACTTCTTATTTTCCCCACAGGAACATCAACACCATCCGCTCTATCAACTCCCAGCTGGGCCATCCTGTAGACAGGTACACCATCATGGCAAAATGGTAAGCAGTACGGTAACTGTTTGTGGAGAGCCTTATGAAAAAACTTGCTCAGAACATGACATTGGTTATTTTGTGGACTGGCTACTCTCTTCTTGCAGCCAGTGGCTGAATTGTGAGGAGCTCACACTTACTGGGGCTGTTAAATATAATCGCAAGGGTCTGGAGCGGCTGCTATTCGGCACTAACCGAGTGCAGTCATTAGAACTATAGGGTTTGAACCACTCACCCTGGGAAGGTTCCCTACTCATTACAAATTGTAAGAAACAGAGGCGAGCAGTAGAAACAGAAAGAAACCCCTGGTCCCGGGTCGGGGTTTGAACCCACGACCTCCGGAGCACCAGCTAAAAGGTCTAAACCCATCAGCCGGGTCAGTTGGTAATGCCTATAAACCCCCCACTGTTACACAATAAGTGTGGTGGGTTCTTTAATGTGCGTGGGGTGTGGCTCTCCCCAAACATAGGACCTCCATTTAACCTTCTTGAGTTGAACACTCTGGGAATTGTGCAAGTAATGGAAGTTATTGTACAATGAAAATTGTTTTGAATTAAAAAGCTGCTGCAAGTGTACATGTAAATGTTCTTAGTACTAGTCATACTCTCATGTACAAGTTGTATCCTCTTCACACACAATAGTGGTCTGATTTAGTAAATCTTAGGGTGATCTAGAAAGTTAATTGACAAATATTTTGTTATAAAATTCGGTAGTTAGGTAAGGCTGGTGACCTACGTAAAACAAAGGAAATGTTCCCCATGTGTGGTTCAGACTGTAGTACAGTCAAATGGCCGCACCTTTTGTAGGTATTGAGGTCATCTGAGAGAGCCCAGAATGGCAGCCGCACCAAACCCTTACGATTCAGCCCTACCAATTGTTGACTCCTCACAATTCAACCCTTGGTTGCGTGGAGAGAGTAGCCAGCCCACACAATAACAGTAACAACAGTTTTTGTCCCTCCTGTTTCCCCACAAGTACTTATTGAGTACATTCTTCCACCGACGAGCCTCACGCAATCCCTGTATAGCCATCTGTATCCATCCATTTTGTAGGAGAGCTCTAGTTTCCCTATCTGGTTTAGAGTTCTGACATTTCATGTGTCAATGCTTAATGTTATTTCAAATTTAAATCACATTGTTGTTGATGTACCAGTTGCAATGGAAGGCATGGAACCTTAGTATACTTTTAGTTTTACAGCCAAAGTCAACAACACAGTTTGAATGAGTATTAAGTGTTTGATTGCCAGAAGTCTGACATAATTACTTTATTGTTGTTGCAGTGCAATAAAGGGAGTGAGTGCAGAGAGAAGGAAGCAGGTGTCCCTGGTGAGCAGGATTAGGGCTGCCTGGGAGAGTCTGGTCTTTGACTGTTTACTCAGGTAGGTCTTATTCAGATAGGAAGACACACAGAAAGACTGCTGGTGTCTGGTCACAGTCGTAATTGGTGAGGGCTTCAGAGGGGGGACTGGAGGTAGCTGCCCGCCTTTTTGGTTGGTGAGGGCTTTGGAACAAAGGACTGGTGGTGTCTACTCACTGTCGTAATGGGTTAGGGCTTCGTGCCAACATCTGAAAGGGTTTGCTACAGCCTGGTACTCACCGTTGAGATCAGTGAAGTCTGGCTTGCTAATCTACATGTAACTGTTATAAGGCCTGGTCACAACCCGCTGTACGTGCTTCTGCATGCTGTCTACGTGCAAAAACGTGGGCAAATGTAGGGAATCTGTGCGTGGTGAGTACCACCTCCGTGCGGAATCCTACGGATTTGGGAGCACGCAGACATGCCGTAGAACTTTAAGTGCATGTAAAACTTTTTCTGTGTGCGGTCTGCGGATTCACCACCCGTACGTGCGAGTACGTGCGACCCGCGTGCCCCCGTACGTACCGTACAGAAGAAGCACGTGTGAGTACGGCCTCCTTACGGTAAAGTTGCAATTGCACAGAGATCGTACGTTGTAAGCACGTAGTACAACTCACTTCTCTCGCACAACGAACAATGCACACAACCGCTCACGGCCAGACGTGGCGTGCAGACCACACTCTTACACCTTGCGCAACCGTGCGAGTGACGTGCGTCGATGCCACTCCTTCCCCATTTTTTCAGAAAAAACGTAGCAGACGTAGCCTCCCAAAAACGTACAGACAAAAAGCATGTACGGCCGGTTGTGACCAGGGCTTTAAGGACTGACATGTGGGCTCAGGATGATGGCCTGATCTTTCCAGCTACCAGCAGGTCTAAAGTGGAGGCGTCATGAGTGACGGCTGTTCTAGCAGAGAAGACAAATTCATGTGCCCAGCTCACTTCCCGGACTACCCTGTCATGTGATTTTAAGGCCGCTGAATTTTTTTTGGCAAATCAGAAGAAAATAAAGCGTGCAAACCCAAGAACCAATTGCTTAAATTGCTGTGGCCATATGTTTGTTTCTGTTTATTCCAGGTATGAACGGTGGCACATGTGGCTGACGACATGTTACGTGAGGTTGCTGGGAAGGCTGGGCATGGCTCCTGCAGAGCTGCTGCAGCTGACTGCACAGCTGCAGGCATGACCACGTCTCAGCACACAGGCTGCAGCAGCTGCAGGCATTGCAGAAAGATGTACAGTGTCATGTTCACAGATATTGACTCCTTCTCAGTGAAATTTTTTTTAACATTGTTGGTCAGTGCAAAGCTACAGGGACTGTGCTACAGTAGGTAGTAGGTACATGTACACATATTTACCCAAAATGGTAAGAAGACAGTCTGGAGAATAATGTAAAGTTTAATGAGAGGCCAAATAGTGTATAATAGTGTAGTAAAAATGATTGTGTTATTTAGGCCACACTGTTTTCATGTTGACATCCGCGAGCTTTGACTTTAAATTTGCCTGTTCTCAAAAAAAATCACCTCTGAGGACCTTTAGCAACCTCCAGAGTCCATGGTAGCTAGCAACAATAGGGAACTGGCAGTAACTATGGAGGATGGCACCCAGGCTACCAAAGGTCCATGGAAAAAAGGCCAGCACATGGCTTGTCATAAAAGTCGCTATGTACTACTGCAAATTCACAGTACCAGCTTTGTGTTCCTGTGGTTTTGCAGCTTTTTTGGGGCTGGATTTTTTTCTTTTTTTTTTCCATTCACCTGTGCGCAACTAGTTTGGGGGTCTGCAGAGGATGTCATCCATAAAATTGAGTGTGTGAGGTAGTGATGCATACCTAAACACAATTTTAGGTTCAGGTCCGGATTCAAGTCCAGAAGTTTAGGTTCAGTTCCGGACTTGTAAGTCTGGACCTAAACCCATAGCATATACAAAATTGCATGGTGGCAACCTTACAATGTTGTTTGGCCACATAACATGGAGGCCGGTACATAACGATGCCCGATGGCAATGTTTTCTTCGTTTTGCAGCAAAGATTTTACAATCTATGGAAGGTTTTAGGTGGTTTGGAAAGAAAAGGGGTCTGTGAAATGGTCTTTTATGGTAATAAGTCCGGACTCGGTTCTTGACTTTTAGGTTTTTTTGGACTTGAACCTAAACGTTCTTACAAGTCCGGATCCAAGTCCAGTGAACCGGTATGCAGCACTAGTGTGAGGCCTTATTGACACCAACATTAAACACTTTTCTCATCAGCAGTCAGGATACAAATGGCAGTATTCATGCAAGTATGCTGGTAACATGGTCTTGCCATCTAAAATTGTAGCAATATCAAGCACAAGAAGCTGGACAGGTGTCTACTATAATTCTGTGTCAGAAAGAACTTCATCATTTCAGGACGGTACATGTACAATGTACATACATTTTGTACCCCGGTATTAAAACAGTAGGTATTGAAGTATACTGTTAGTAGATATGAACAGGACATTTCATATGATAAGCAAAGTAAGATTTATATTATCATGAAATTAATATGTTTTGTAATTTGTAAATGAGTCAGCACATGTCACTTTCAATGTTTACGTCCATGTATTCTTTTAATCTCAAAGTTTACTGACTCTATTTGTCATTGACAGTTTGTATTTTGATTTGCAAAATTTGAGTAAGTTTTGCAAGTATAAAAAATTACAATGTACATGTTAGAGTCACCTAGCAGTGTGATTATAGTCATGTGAGATGAGTGGCTTGGGTGTTTTATACATGAAAAAAAAAACAGTTACAGTTCTTAGTGGCAAATGTGCAGATGTTGCCACATTGGCACACCAAATGGGGGCCTCCATGCCCTTTTCTGTAGAGCGTAATCGACCGTTTGAACCCCTGTAATTCAACGTAGAGCGTAATTGGCGCATTTTTGCGCAGAACGTATTCACCGTTTTAATTCTACGTAGAGCGTTGTAGCCACTTGGAATTTATCATAAAGCGTAATCGAGAAATTTCCTGAATTCAGCGTAATACATAGCCAGCTCTCAAAATCAAGCATAGAGTGTTGTCGGCACCCCCCCCCATGCAGGCTCCCCCAAATCCATACTGTGTTTTTGGCACACATAGACAGATTAGCCTGAGAGGTTCGGTGGGCGTCACTCCACCATCAGGGAAGGGAAGGTCGTGTAATGTACCTTCCCAAGGGCACAACGTCGGGACACTGCGAATGTCGAACCCGGCCGGGACCTATCGGTTCTGAGTCCAACCGATGTCACGTTTTATACGTGGTATAAATTGAAATACAATGCCATGTAAATGCATGCTAAGCTGCCTGAATGCAATGTTCTATGATAATAAAATTGAAAGTTTGATCCAACAGAAATGAACAGAATTCGAAAATCACATTTTCAGCCATACGTATATTACATAAAATGTACATTCACAGTATTCTTCAGTGTGATTAATTTGGATACTTGAATAATGGGCCAAAGGTAAAGGAAAAAGTTTTCTTTTGTTGGACTAACTTAAAAACTTAGAGATGTCCTCTCAGAGCATTGTGTATATTAGGATTAGATGTAGATATACCACGCTTTATTACCTTTGCCAATCACCAAGATTAGAAGGTTATGTTTTGTGTGTTCGTGTGTATCTGTGTGTGTGCATGTCTGTGTGTGTGTGTGTTTGTGTGTGTTTGTGTGTTCGTGACCCTAGCATGTCCAGATCACGAGATATCAAAACCAGAAGTTCTGCTGCAGTACCAACAAAAGCCGCCAGGGGGCCCAGAATCTAATCATTTCTGGGTCTCATCAAGACCTACCCACCTACCAACTTTCATAACAATGTATATTAAGCTTCTTGAGTTATGCTGTTCACAGACAAACAAACGGACAGACAAACAGACAAACGCTACTGAAAACATAACCTTCTTGGCGAAGGTAATAAGTATCAATGTATTTCATGTAAATGTGATACTAAGTATGTCATGCAACTTGACTTCTTAATAAACTGAAAGTTCATGTACAAGACCATCACTGACTTGACCTCGTTCGACTCCAGTGGCATCTCATGGCTTAATGGGCAAAGTCTTGTTGACCACTTTCTTGCACGAAGTGTTTGTTTATGTGTGTTTTAATATGAGTAGAGTACTACAAGGAACAAATAAGGAACCGCCACGCAAGTTTGTTGTATTAATAAGTAAGATCGGAATTACTGCCCACCCAGAAGTTCAAAATGGGCCTTATAAAAACCTTATCAATTCAGACTGTGGAAACAAACAGGCTTTCACATGCGCCATGTTGGATTACAGCGTACTTAAAGGCTTTTCAATTATGTCAAAATAATTATCATATGAATCTCGACGACCAGGTGTTGGCGGGAAAACTGGCATGTTGAACAGACATGCACTGTAATCCAACATGGAGGATGTCAACTACACTTGTTGTAGATTGTCGTTAGATAGACATTGCAACAACTAGCCACTGCCTCCAAAAATGGAGGTATGCACCAAAGAAGTCGTCGTAGCCGCATAGAGTTAGTACTCTCTGTCATTGCTTCTTCCTGACCTCCATGTTTTCTTCTTCTCCTTGATGCCCAACATCATAGTAATGATGGCTCTGGCATGTTTATATAATAGGGTGCGCTGTTGCCGTCAACGTTCGTGCTCCCGCTCTGCTTATTGTTACTAATCCAGTGTATGAAAGTCCGCCGTGTCTAGTCATCTCCCCTACTCCCGACCATGGAAGCCCCTGCCAGCCAGACGTCGTCTAGACGTCGTCTCGCCGTACGTCGCGACAGAGCGTATATATATATGCGCACGGGGCTCATTCTCATAGTGATCTAGCTGAGGATAGTACACGCGCTATCTGCTCTCATCGTAATCTCATTGCTTTGCCTATGCTTTGCTTTGCTTTGAATTCGAAGTTTTGGAGAAAATGACGAGGAACAATAACAACGGTGAGCCCGATCATATTTTCAGTATTGTTCGCTACACAGTTTCATCTTGCCCATAGAACGAATCTCATCAACAGAAACCCTGGCTTATTCATGCCGATTGATTAGGAATGTTTCGGGCTCTTCTACCGCCAAATTCATCCGTCTCGTAAACATTCGTTACCATCTGAAACTATCGAAGCCATCAGATTGATAAACAATAGACTAAGTGTAAATAATACATGTAGCAGAAAAAGTACGCGACGAAACTCCCTGAAATTTCGTAGCGTAATCTTGAAAACTGGCTACTTTCAAAATGAAATGAAATGGCCACCGGACGAAAACCTACTTGCTTTAGATTGTTGACGTTGAAGTTTCCGGTTTTATGTGGACTTTATCGCCTGTTATTTCAAATTTCCCGCGCTTTAAGCAAATGTTTCAGAGGTTCGCTAGATGGCGCTAGTTATGGATCGGTCACAAAACTCCAGTCATTTTAACAAGTGGAATACATTGTATGTATGTACACAAACTTCGATGTAAATAATTGTACCAACACAGATGAATTCGAACTTTGAAATTTATGCTATGCTAATCAACTAATACATACATTTGACATCACAATAATGTGCCCTTTAGTAACTCATTCTTTTCTTTAAATCACCAACAGTACCACCAGCTGCAGGTCAGCTGCGGAGAAGTGACCGGGTGAAGCGCAAGCCGGATAGATTTCGTAAGTTGATAGTCTGCTTTGATATTTTTATCTGTCAGGACACTGTATAAAAATTTGCATTTAACACCTAAAAGTTACATTTTGGTATAAAGCCATCATACATGTGTAAGCTAGCCAATTTGTAGTAGTAGTAACTGTTTTACTGGTAAGTGCTTTGTTCAGTCTGCCCCATTAAGGCCCTCCTAAATGTGTCTCCTTCATGTGTTTTTCTTACAGACCGGGATCCCAGGTACGGCTTTAGGGCCCCCCTCCCCACTGCCGCCGCCACCACCAGCGGCCTTAGTACCCCACTGCCGCCGCACCGCCGTCACCTGCGACCCGACCTGCAGCACCTGTCTTGCCGCCACGACCACCAGCGGCAAGACAGCGCCTCGCCACACCGGGGGCAGCCGACCTTGAGATCTGGAGGCCTTTAGTCCCGGCAGGCCCTGTTTGGAGTGAGAGTGGTAAGTGTTGATATGATACAGAAGACAATACATTATGTACATGTATGTCTAATGTCTTTCATTTAAATTTTTCCAAACCATTGTCCTGCTCCCTGTCCACAATTTTTTTTCACAATCTATTTTTAATCAGGTTGTTAACCCTTGACTTCTTCTGCGATGCTGTGACATAATAGTACATTATATTTGACATGTTGAAACCCCTGGATGGCACACAGGGATACATCTAATATAGTATTAAGTTGATTCATCCATAGTCTTCTACATACGTGTAGGTCAATTCTTTTGTACACACCTGTCTGCTGTATCAGTTATAGACCAACAAAATGCTGTACTTTTGTTGTGTCAATAAAACTCTCTCCATATATCTGAGGGATGTTTTAATTATATATGTATTATAAATACCTCTGGTCATTATTGTAACAGCCCTATTTGTATTGTACAATCATTTTTTTGCCCTGTCACTTAATTTCTTTTCAATCCGAGAACCAACAAATGAAATCGACAAATGGAAGTATTGTTTTAGGAAGTTGGTTGGTTGGTTGGTTGGTTGGTTAGGTGGGTGGTTGGTTTGGTTGGTTGGTTTATTCTTGGTTGGTTGGTTGGTTGGTTAGTTTGTTGATTTGATTTGATTTTGATTTGATTATGATGGTGTTGTGTCTTTTGTACATTATGTTATTTTAGGATGTATTTTGTTTTCTAACTTTGTGTATATCTTTTGTAAATAA